TAAGTGGGGGAGAATATCACAGACAAAATTGTAAATGGGGTATTCGACATAATGCTTATGTATGTCCGTGTCTTTTGGTTTGTTCATGCTTTGCACAGCATGTAAAGGGTTGGCAGTAAGCTTAGCAACCTTATTTTCTTTCGGTTTATAGTGGACCATTTGAGACCCTTTGTTGTGCAACCATTCAGAGCTTGTAAAGTCTGTTTGTAATTTGCATTGGCTATGAAGTGTTTGCTCAAACGATTGCTTGTGGATCCCGAGTGAGGTGCTTTCTCTAACCTGTTTTCTCTTTTGTAGGTCCTAAGGGACCATAGGAGGTTTCCAGAAGGCTGACCTTTGCGGACGGACACGCAAGGGTGCTGCACGACTTAGACAAAACCAGCTAAGTCCGCGATATTAGTCCATGTATACTGACTAACAAGGTTCGTAATACCATACCGTACCGGTATTTCGACCTGGGCTCGGTACCGGTACGGTACGGTATACCGAGCGGTACACCCTGGTGTACCGAGTACTGTAGCACTGTAGCAGTGTACTGTAGCACTCGGACCGGTAACAAGCGGTCTGTGTACCGGCAACCTGTCGGACCGGTACGTACCGCCCGTACCGCCCGTACCGGGCGGTATAGTTCGGTACTGCAGACCCAGCTGACTAATAAAAAAGAGCATAGGCCCAATGCAAGCCAATAACAAACAGTACAAGTTTGAATGGATGTAAGGCAACTCAAAACCGATGGGATTAAGTTAGTATATATCCCCAGTCAATCCTAGAATCAACCAATTGATTGTATCGAGGACTTAACTTTCCCTATAGTATACTTTGCTACCAAATTATTCCACCTTGCACTAACATGTAAATCAACACAATAATCCTTGCTGCTAGTTGACATGATACTCAATGTGATCTTAGTCTTACGTATGAGACTATGAGGCATTGTCTGGTTTTAGACAAGGTATTGAATTTTACTCTCGTGACATCTGGTATCAATAAAAAGTACATAGCTGATGTAATAATGTGGTAGCAGTCATCGCCTCATCGTTGTTCACCACTTGTGTGGTAGGAGGGACCTTAGATAAGTAGGACCACAGTATACAACTCCGTAGGATGTACTGCACCTAAGCTATGGGTCTCATTACTACATTGTTATTGTATGCTATCCGACTCTGAAAAGAACGAACAACTATCACCATACATTTGTAAGTAGGAAGACTGAGAATATGAAGAACCACTTCTAAAGTAGTAGGAACAACTATCATCATACAGCTGTAAGTCATAAGATCCAAAGTAGTAGGAAGACAGAGAATATGAAGAACCACAGTCTATCTTGATATCATGTAGACTCTGCCTCATATTTCACATAAATCAATAGCCACAATTCTTCCTTCTCTTTTATCTTTGCTTTTAGACCACAAATGATCCACATGGATCCTCATGCTCTGTGACATGCATCCTAGATGGCATGGGTGAAATACTGCTCCGTAGTCTACTCTTCATATGTTCATGTCTGAGTAATGACTGAAACTAAGACAATTTTTAAGCAAGCCCATCGGGTTATCAACACTAGCATGCATGAACAATCATAGTCTGTGATTCAATTATATCCATCTGATATAGATATTAGCTAAGTGACAATAAATAAAGGACGTTTCTCATAACAAAAACAACATACAATCTTCAAAATTTGGCATACATGTAAATATATATAATGGAACCTCAAAACATCCCTCTTCTAATGCCTTCTACAGTTAAACTGGGCATTAAAATTTCCATGGTCAAACATAGTTTTGAAGTATATAATTGTTGAAAAATAATGAAGAAAGTAGGGTTTTACACTGACAGCATATATGATTATAATAGAGTGATGTCTGATTAGGCAATAATATAACAAATTACAAACACAAATTTTGCGCCATCTATGTTCATAAAATAGCATTAACAATGCACTGAGTGGCAAACACGGGAATGAATGGTGTGCTAGCAATTAGACAATAAGATGAAGTATATATCTTGATACAAGATGAGGGATATGCAGGAGAATTCATGAACAACACAACAAGAAAAACGAGTGAGGAGAACCGGAGAAGAACACTACAAAAGAAATGAAAGAATAAAAGATGGGAGAAAGAGAATGAAGATAAAAGGAGTAAGAGAGAAACACCTGTTACAGACAAAAAGCAACTGAAAGGTTAATTTTTTGCAATCACTTTCAACAAAGTGAATATTTTGGGCCTGATAAATGCAATCCGCCTCAAGTATGAGTTAAAATGACCAAAGTCAAACCCACCGAATAATAGGCAAAATATATTATGGTGTTGGGTTAATGGAATCTGGGCGCATAACTTCCACCACTTCTATCATCTAAAGAGACAAAATCAAGACATGAAGCCTGGGAAGTGTTCATACATCCTACCAAATATTTATAAGTTGCCAATGATTCTAAATACTGTTGATCCTGCTTCAGTAGCGCATAGCTTTCATCCAGCAGAATAGACAAGTATAACTTGTGATGTAACAGTGAAATGGCTAAGTAGAATTACTGTGACCTACAAAATTTATGAGTACCTGTTCAATTCTGTAGAAAGGAGCAAGGTGGCTATCAAAGTATTGTTTTTCTTTCGCAGCCTTACTTCCAGGACCAACCCATAGCTGTACCATGCCAATGTTTAGAAATCACAAAAAAGGATAAGGATACAGAAAGAAACAAACTGGGAATTTCAAAGCCAAGACAAAAGGGAAACATGCAGAAATTACACAGAATCTAGTATAAAGATAATCTTCATCAGAAACATGACAAAGAATTATTTCTGAGAACAACATTAGAAAAAATTTTGATTGGCAAAATTAATTCTTCCAGTTAAAAATATGAATAAATGATGTGAATTAATTACTTAACCTTATTTGACTCAATTTGCAGATAATACACATCGTACTTGGGTTCAATCAAGACGGATCTTATTAAGCTTAAATTAGGCCTATACTGCTTCAAATTCAGCTTGGGTTTTAACATAAATTTTAATCTACATTGATTTGTCCTAGTTCACAATCAGAGGGAATTTAGTGATCAAAGCTTCTGCATTGCCCCGATCACCTTCTTAGATCGGCCTGGTCTATTCACATTTCAAAAGTTCAAATTATGGCCTGAGGGTTAGATTAGAAGTCCAAAGTAATCTTGTTTGCAAGGAGATTATTTTTGGCCAAACTCACTCTCATTGTTATCCTTACATTACCCATCATCCATGATCCTGCCTGATTTATCAAGGAACACAATAAAGGGCTTTTGTAGAATGGTCAAACTTCAGTAAGAAGAAGCTGGTGTCCAGTAAATTAATTTATCTTCTATAACAGCAAGATCTAAATAGGAGGAGGACCTTGGTGTTCTTAATCCAAGTCCCTGTTAGTGTTAGGTCAATGCATTCCGTACTTTCCTTTTAGAACACATTGCATTCAAATACTTTAAGAGGAAACATTTCTGCAGAAGTTCCAGTAGATCATCCTTTTCGACGTATGGAACATCAGAAAACCTTCAGAATCTCCTCCTCCATTCCCGGCAATGAGCTCTCTCTTTCAGGCTTTCAGAGGACAGTTAGCTAGAACCATTTTCCAATATAGCAAATCCTCTCATTCAACAATTTGATCAATGTTGCCAAGATTTTCATGGCTTCTAGTTGGCTTGTCCAGTCCAGGGAAGGAGACATTATTCAGACTTTAAAAATTGGCCTGTGAAGTGTGAACAACACTATTTAACTTTTTTCCCTTACTTCCTTGGTAGCCCATCTATAGTAAGTCTTTTTTTTTTCTCACTTGGCTAGCCTGAATATCAGCATCTAGTGATTTCTCAATAACTTCATAATAATTCCTAATTTTGTAGGATCCCTTTGACCATTCTCCAAATTCATCTAGAAAGCCACTTTGTGCCCCAACATAAAAGTGCTTCATGTGGTTTGGTCCCTAGGAATAAAGTCCGTTCCAGTTAAGTTTACCCTCAAGAAATGTTGGACTCTAGACAATTCCTGGGCCACAAGAGTCCATTGGCTCATCATCCTCCGTTGCTTACTTGCCTTTCAAGTCTGCATCCCCAAAGGTGATCTCAATGATTACACTTGGTTCTATTAAGCTACCATGGGATAACTAGCACCTTTCTTCTTTCCCATCCAAGTGGTGAAATTTCTGCAACTTGCACTGGGTCATCTGGAGAGCAATATAACCTTCAGATGACTCCATGGATCCTCAGATTAGTGATGGCTCAATCTGCTACTTTTCACAAAAATAGGACCTGACTCAGTGATCTGTGTTATTATAAAGATTGTCATTGTGATGCAGTTCACTTTTGTTGTTATCTCAGTGCTCGGCACGCCTGAATATACCGCTCGGTACACCTGGGTGTACCGAGCAGTATACCGTACCGTACCGGTACCGAGCCCAGGTCGAAACTCCGGTACGGTACGGTATTGCGAACCTTGGTTTTATGTTTGTTTTTTATTTTCTTCTGCTATTTTTTTACTCTGGTACTTATTTCAAGCTCTTTTTGAGATATTCAACTTGCTGCTTTGCCTCAGAAAAAAAATTATCACACATGCACAATGAAAGATACATGTACTAAATATAAGCAATCCAAAATTTTCTAATCCATTGTGCATGAATTAGCTTTCTGAGAACTTTCTACCCTCAAATTCATAAATTCCTACAACTAGATTTCTGAGAGTATTAAAAAGAATACCTTCTCAGGACGTGTTTCCACTTTGAAACGGATAAGCCCTAAGCATAGAAGAAGAGGAACAACCAATGATAAGCACAAAATGAGAGTTGGATTTTTGGAAACAAAGCTCCCGTACTTCCTACAAAACCATATAAGCAACTAGTTGAAGACATTGCACAGAAATAACAATACTCCAAAAACCATCACATAAAATTTACAGATGTAGAACCAAAGCCACCTGAAGAAATTTGACATATAAAGTTGAATTACAGAAGGTCGATGTGCTTTAACTACCGGAGGAACCTCTTCAGATATCTAATAAATGAGAATGAACTTTTGTAAACACAATTGATATGAAATCACAAGGTACAACATTGACATTTACTGAAATTATTTCTTATAATAATAGACAAGGGACATAATTAAAGAACACCAAGTCGAGTCGGTAAACATTCCTACAAGCAGCATTAGTATTTCTGAACAAATTGATGCTCATTAAAAACCATAATAAATTAACATGGACAATAAGTATGACAGCCAAAGTTCACAGATATACCCAAGAACTCAAAAAAAGATCACTAACATTACAATGAAACCAATCAATATCACTGGCCATATTATTGCACAGAAAGACACAAACAAAGTCTAATAATAACCAACCCTAACAGGCTAACATTACAGTGAAACCAATCAATATCACTGGCCATGTTAATGCACAGAAAGACACAAACAAAGTCTAATAATAACCAACCCTAACCGGGCATTTTGCAGTCGGTTCAAGGCCTACCACCTGGTAAACATGCTGAACCAGGCTCATTGCCCAGTTTTTTACCCATTTTGGGACCTAGACTGAGTGGTAAACCCACCTCCTGGTCCCCAGCTTCAAGTGAAACTTGAGATATCTTTTGAGGCTTTAAAGAGGGCAGTTTAGCCTTTCCTCAGCCCTCTTCTCGGTATCCGTCACATCCCTCTCTCACCCTCTCAATTATAAAATCCCAACTACTTGGGCATGACTACATGGATCTTTTTCTAGACATTGAGCTCCATATAAGGCCTTCTCCCACCATTTATCTCATATTAAGTGTATCATTATACTCAGAAAACCAAACTAAAATGAGATAAATGGTTCACAACCATTATTAATGATTCAAATCATGACCATCTTCCAATAGGAGATAAAAGTAAAACTACTTATTACCTAAAAATTGCAGATTATTTCTATCAATATCTTCATGGTAAACTTGATAAAGTTCACTTATATTATCAAGACTAAGAAAATAGCTCTGTTAGTATATCCATAACCACAGTTGCACCAATATTAGGGTAAAACACCAAAAGGAACAAAGTTTCTATTTAAAAAATAAAAAACCCTCATGTATCGGTTTACTTGGTGACTATTTACTGAAAACACAGGCCTATACAAAGCAAAAAAGAGAAAATGTAGCATGTCTGCATGCATAACTGTGCTAATTGTTCCACAAAATTGAAAAAAAATGCAGCATATCTGCATGCATTTCTGTGCTCGTTATTCTGCAAAGTCAAGGGAATGTCTACATGTGTAACTATGCTAGTTATGTTATACTCATGGATTTAAAGCCCATGGTATATCATAGTAGAAGCAGAACATATTAATCTAGCATGGAGTAATACAAGAACAACCCAAGGCCAAGCAGTATATAGCAGAACCCAAAATACTCCATCAAATTTAGTCTAAACTCTGAAGTCTAAACCATGCTGAAAACATTGTTTCTGTGCTAGTTTGGCACACATCAGTCACAGGAGTCATTCAAGTGTCTTCCACCAGTTTAGAGCAGCTCAGACAATTGAAAGGACAGTATCAGAGTCTGTCATACTGGCACCAGCACATTCATGGGTAGAAAAATGGAAAAAAAAATGAAAGAAAGAGGAAAGAGAGCAAAAAATAAAAACATTCTCTCAAAAGTTGAATTCCTTTGACCGTCCTATTTGACAACTTGACTGCTTTGGTATGTGTTGAGAGAGAAAAGAGCCCACTAATGCAAAGTATCAATAACCACCTATCAGTAAAAGCCAGTTCAGTCACCCCTGTGCCCAAATTGGCCATTTAAACAGTCACTAGTCAGTATGATACAATTGAAGAACACAAAGATATACTGCTACAAAATCAATAACCCCTTTCATTGTAAAGCTAACATAGCAAGCAGTATGCAGGTGCAGAAAAAATGCCTCAACCATTGCTCTATATTGATATGCAAAGCAAGAACAATAAATATAGGAAAGAAGGCCAATTTTTGCCAAAGCAAAAAACGAGAATTATTAATAATTAAAAAAACGAGAAATTGGAAAGAACATTTTGATAAAATCAATGCCCAACTCCACTACCAATAGATTGCCAGGATATATATATATATATATATATCTCAACCACATATAGATATATATATATATATATATATATATATATATATATATATATATATATATATATATATATATACATATACATGCATACATACATACATACACATATACACACACACACACACACAGAGAGGCTAGATAGAAGAATTAAAGACAGTTTGAACTCAAAGGTATCTAAGAACATGAAAAGAAAAAAAATTATCACCTAACATAAAATCCCAAGTCAACCAATGTCTTAAGTCTATCAAGTCTCACTTCCCTCCAAAGAAAGGGAAGCAGAGAAAACAAGTAAGCCTTAAAACAGAATCTTAAGTTGGCTTTACTAAATTATTAACTTGGTTGAAAGTTTGGTCAGTTGGACATAACATAATATTATCAAGTTTCAACAACTAGCTATTTCCAGAAATATGGAGCTTATACACTCCAGATTATTTAGAGGAGCTACCATTTAAATCAAGGTCTGTCATACCGAAGCGTACCGCCCATACTAGGCGGTACGTACCGGTCCGACAGGTTATCGGTACGCGGACCGCCCGGTACCGCTATAGTACTACAATACTATACTGTAGCACTACTACAATATAAAAATAAAAAAAATATTCGGTACACCAGGGCATACCGCTCGGTACGCCCTGATGTACCGCCCAGTACACCGGTACCGTACCGAGCCCGGATCGAAACGCCAGTATGGTACGGTACAGCGAACCTTGATTTGAATAATATAATTTATAAAAGCATCAGTAGAAGAATAATTACCTAAATAGTAACAGATCTACAAATAAATAGACAAAAGGGGTCATACAATTCAGTCTTCAAAACTGAATCCACTGATTGATCCTAGCAAAGGACCATAAACTATAACAAACTGTCATGTAAACCACAAGAAACATCCAAGCATAAGATCCTTTCTTTTGAACATTTTAATTAGCATAAATCGTCATTAGTCTTTTACATTCCCAATCTCGATAGCCTTATCGTGACTAGGCATCTAGCATTGTTTGCCCACCTATAGCAGTCCTCTGGATGTCAGAGCCTATGAAAGATAAACAATAACTTGAAGTTAACACCAAAACCATATATCCATGCATAGTCACACTGAATCCCACTTGCTTTTTATATGTTACACTTTGATATATCATAGACTAATGGCTCTAAGTTCAGTGAATTTTGTATGCACTTTATCAAAAAGATACATGTAGGTGAAAATTAATTCCTTGCCTTTTCTTAAAATATATATATTGGAAAAGTATCTATAATTTTCTCTATATATATACCCCTAGAAATTAGGATCTTGAAATATTGCACTATCTCATAAAATAATACAATACAAATGAGCCTTCCTAGTTTTACCCGACAGCTTCTAACTGGGAACATTAAATATCTTGGAGTTCCACTTCAGTAAACTCCAGCGCAACGTGTGCACTGTAACCAGAAACCTATAAACCCACAATTGAATGTAGCACATGCATCCCAAGAGTCAACATTTAAGAGAGACATACATGTTCCTGTTAGTTGCCATAGAAAATGGAGCATTCTTTAATAGATTGTCAAAAGAAAGCTGTGTGCTTACTGTTCATTGTTCATCTTCAGTTTCTAGACAAGTGATACACACGAATGTAGAACAAGATATCTGATGGCTGCAATGTGTTAAATTAACACACTCTGACTCACTAGATTGGCAAAAGCTTTTACCTAATTTGGTTGAAACATTCAATTTCAAAAGAATGAGAAAGAGCATGATCTCTTGGAATATATTTAGTGCTTTACCTCTTCTTCAAGCTGGTGATGGCCACAGCTAGAATTTGGTTGATGGCGATTACAACTAGCAACAAGAAAAGTAAAGGCACACAGAATAACTTGTGAAATGGTCATCAAACAAGACACTGAACTTTTCAAATAACAAAATGATATGCATATATGGTTAGTGGCAAATATTTTAAAATCTAATTTTTTTAATTATAAAAGATTATTGTTTTCAAAATGCCACAAATTTTTAATAAACAAAATATCATTTGAGTGGTGGTAGGCATACAGAATCATTCAAAGAGTCAAAAGTCCAAAATATTTGCATTTGTACAAAGTGCCAAACAGAAGAGGAATTTATAGTCCATGATCTTATATTTTTATGTTTACATAAAAGAGAATATGACACAATAATATATAATAAAATTATTACTACATGATAAAAAATGGCAAGAGATAATATTATATCACAAACCAAGTAAACACCTGGGAAGGAGCTTCCTTCTTGTCACCAGAATTGTGGTTGTTATCATCTCTTACATTCAACAATGCCTTTGTTCTAGAAGGGCCAGCTCTTTTTTTTCTGTATACAAAACCCCATAGTAGAAAGGCAGAAACTAAGAAGAGGTAGACAATTGCCAATGAAAAATCCAGACATTTGATCTGCATAAAATGGAAATCGGATTAACAAAAATAAAATAAAATAAAATTCCATGGATATTGAAGCATATAATGTAATTTGACCACACAAACTATTCAACATTTGATGAGAAAAATGTCAAAAGGCACCTGATTTTTCATATTGGCCTGTCAATTGAGAAAAATATCCAACTTAAAACTTCTAAGGTTATCGATTGCACCATTATTACTTTGTGTAATACTAGTGTTATGCACAAGACATACAAATGAGAGTAAGCTCCTTGGTGGATCACTGAGAGTTAAAATAATAAAGACTTCCTTGTTGAAAAACTAAAGAACGTGATCAAGACATTCTAAGTGCACTTCAATTGATTCTCAGCTTCAGATAGCAAGAAATTTGCTGAGATGGACTCAGGTATATGGTATCATTTTATTTGTTAGACATCTTTAAGTAAAGATTGAATCAGGCATAAGCTCGATTCCCTGAAACCCCAATTCCCTATATTCAACATGTTATGTGTGGATCAGAATAAGATGAAAAAGGATATTAAATATAATAGAATCTATTTTGTGGAAATCGGTATAAGCTAAAGGTAGAGAATAGATGTCTTGCCATCCTCATTCAAGAATTGCAGTAAATAATTCTAGTGGTTCTTGTTTTTAGCTGTAGTTATAGTTTACTCTTTAGCCAAATTTGCCTCTAGCATAAACCAGTTTATGCATGTTGCATACTAATCTGTATATCAGAAACAAGTAAAGAAGCTGACTGAGATGCCATATGGATGGTTGATGGTTCATTCTGTCTTCCGAGGAATTCCCTGCCTTCTTGATTCAATGGAATCAGAAAACATATACACAGAGACGTAAAAGATCATCAGCTAGAATCTGCTTTCTTTTCAAAGTATTTTTATCTGGTCTTATAGATTAATCATGAGTAAGCCGCACCAACTCAACATTTAGAAGTTGATCAGCAAAATAATCCAAGGCAATAAAAGTGGGTTGCATACATTAAGGACAATGACAATGGAAGACAACATGTAATGCACTAGTAACAAATATTGAGGTCTGTGTAGTAATAAATTTGCCGGAGTAAGAATGAACCTGAACTGATGCAAATCCAACATTTAAGTAGAAAATCTTGGAACATCATATTTGATAATCTATATTGAACCTTAAAAAGAATATAGTTCAGAGTATTGTTCAGAACCTTCAAACTAGTGAGAAAAAAACTCTTTCTTAGACATGTCTAGATGTCAGATAAAATCTATGTAGGGACTGCATATATATGAACAGCATGCATCAGTTATATACATACTCTCATAATCACATTCCAGACATTATACACTGCAAGGATTGAAATACCGTACCATACCGGTGTTTCGAGCTTGGCTCGGTATGGTATAGTACCATGTACCGAATGGTACACCTAATTTAGGTGTAAAATCCTCTGAATTAATCAATAGTATCTAATTAGATACTTAATTTAGGTACACCTAATTTAGGTGTATCGAGCAGTACACCTATTAGATACTTAATAGTATCTAATTTCGAATTAATCAATATTAAACACACTAATCATAACATTAAAGATCTTAATTTCTCTCTAATTAGAGAAAGAGAATACATAACTTTTGATTAGAAAGTTCTTCCTCTTAATCTTCCCAAATTAGCTTCGATTCAATTCACAAATCGTTGTTTTGTAGAGTTTAGGATAGCACAAATATGAGAAAAAAAGAGTTTGAGATAGTTTAAGAGAGTATGAGAATGAAATGAAGTGAAATAGGGGTGAATAAGGGTTTAAAAACATATGAGAAAGGGCTACAACGGTCAATTTGACCATTGGAGCATTGTTATCAAGCTGTAACGATCGATTTCGACTGTTACCGAGCTATGTCGGGTGGTAACGGTCGAAATTTCGACCATTACCGAGCTATGCCGGGCGGTATAACCCCGAAATTTCGACCGTTACCGAGCTGTGTCGGGCGGTAACGGTCGAAATTTCGACCATTATCGGTGTGCCTGATATAACCTTGTATCATCCGATACGGGGCACTTTTAAGCGTTCTGCCTTGTAACGAGCGGTCCGCGTACCAGTAACCTATCGGACCGACACGTACTGCCCGTACCGAGCGGTATCATTCGAAACTATATACCCTGATACACTATACACCTTCTTTTAAAAACAAAAACAAACAACGAAAAAGAAAGGAGTGTTAACCTTTGCACACTCTTGACTTCACCTTATCTATCCGATCCCTTGTCAAGAATCTACAGACAAGCGACAATGGATGCAACTGTAAGGCAATAAAGCAACTGGAGTCCAAAGTCCAAAACTAATCAAAAACCACCACCAACTGTATCTAGACTTGCCCATAGGATGCATATCATCAAATTAGTGCCCACGATAGGTCGCGCAATTCTTTTTGGCAAATATTAGTGCCGGCATATCATGTCATGCCAAGTTTCAACAACTTGGCATGCCAACACATGCCATTCCAAAGGCCAATTTGACTAAGGATTAGTTAGTTCTATTTCTCGATGGGACCGGGAAGGGATATAACTTAGTATTAGAGTGTCACCTTGACGTGGTGGAAGTCATCAGTTCGAGCCTGATTATCCCTAAACCCAATGTAAGTTCTTCTATTTTGACTTGCTCCCCCCCCCATGATCAAACAAGAATGGATAAGAGGCTTGTGGGATTGACGTGATAGGGTAGGGATGACTATATTGCTGGGAGCGAACTCCAGGCTAATATGAAGCGCATGGATACAAGTTATGCCTTAGAATGAAAGAGAATTCCGAATCAGCTTTGTCTACGAACAAGGAAGATATATACCAACACAGTACCCCTAACACCCATAAGTTAGCCAAACTGGCAATCGTAGCTATTAAAAATTGTGATGATGGATCTATCTTACCTTTCCTTTCTACCTTTTAGTTTCTTGTTCTTTTTAAGACAGGGTTTTCTGTGCATTTTTGAAATGCAAATTACATTAAATAACCTATCTCAAGTTCACTTTCCAATGTAGGTTGTAATTTGTATCTAGAGGTTAAGCAAAGGCCAAAATGCTAAGCATAATATTTCATTAAAAGATGAAATATGGAATACAAGAGGGTAAAAGGAAAATATAAGAAAAAGGTGGAAGTGTTAGATTCACAAAGCATAGAAGTGACGGCCAGTCTCTTCCACTATGACAGTTGCATTGCAGTTACATACTTACATTAACCTTCCAATATGAGAGTTCAAATTGCAGTTTTGGTGCATAGGAAGCCTCTGCCATAGTTTTCCAAAATAACTTTTATTTTTTTGGTTCCTAGCTTCCAGTATCTCCCGACATAAGGAGAGGGAGACACTGGAATGCAACTAAAAAAACATGAGAGGGAAAAGACCATTCCAATCATTTCCAACTTAGACAAGAATTTGTCGTTTTTCTTAAGATAGCTATCAATTCCTATTGCCAACAACATTTGTCACATTTAAAAGCTTTTATATAAATGGACATCCTATCCAACCCCACCAATGCATGGATTAAAATATATTTTTTTAATCCTCCATTACCTGATTAAAATTTACTTGAAACCCACATATTAATATAGAAAAGTATAAACATTATAACCCCTATTATGCATCCTATCTGCTAGTCAATTCTGACAAACATTTTTAGGATTACCTCTTTATTTCTTCATAAGCCAACGAACCCCTCCTCTTTCATTCTTCACATCGATTGAGGAAAATTTGACTGCAAGGAGGGAAGGAAAATGATGGCATCATCTTAAGAAATTAAGTAGGTTTAGGGTTTCCAATGGCATCATATGCATAATTTAGGGCTTTTCACTATTTTATTTATTTGTATAATTTTTTAAATTTACTAAAGGCAATTATATTTTTTGTTTTTCTTATAATTGAGAAAAAATCATTGAATTTTGTTCAGATTAAAAATTATTTTATCAATCATGAATTTAATTTTAATTTTAAAAGAAAAAAATTATGGATATGAAGTTACGCTTTAGAATTTAGATATTTGTTGATTAATTAACATGATAATTTCTACAACAACACAATTGTATTTTATCAGTTATAAATTTAAATTAATCAAACTGTGCCCATAATGTTATACTTTAGAATTTGGGCATCATGTTGAATTTGTTAATTCATGTTGATAGTATAACATAAGAAAAATAAGAAGTATAATCATATTTTAACAAAAATTATCCAAATTACAAATAGCGAAAAAAACTACTAATTTCTTTATGGCACAGTTGATGTAAAAAACGAGAGAGGATAGATATGTTAGCTTCCGAAGATATGGAGAGGTAACTCCCAACTCCATAAGTATTTGTCAATTAGCATGACCCAGGATAGGGGTTACAATGTTTATACTTTCTATATAGTATATACAGATCTCAAGTATATTTTCATTGATCAATGAGGGCTTACAATTATATATATTTTAATATATACATGGGGGGTTACATCCTAGGTCCTACATTGACTGTTTAGGTGGTAGGCAATGGTCCAAGCAGCCACCTAGTGATCAAGTTTGTCAAACAGGCAACCAAAGTCTGCAGCATCTGTGGCATAAGCAACAACAACTAACATCAATATGGCAGAGATGGTTGTCTTTACAAGTGTTACCACCACCAGCTGAGGAACTAAATTTGTTATTCGTAGAACAGAAATAAGTGTAAGGAGCATGGTTTGCAGTACCGGTCCGTACCGCCCGTACCGGACCGACAGGCTTCCGGTACGCGGACCGCCTGTTACCGGTCCGCTACAGTGCTCGGCACGCCTGAATATACCGTTCAGTACACCTGGGTGTACCGAGCGGTATACCGTACCGTACCGGTACCGAGCCCAGGTCGAAACTCCGGTACGGTACGATATTGCGAACCTTGGTAAGGAGTACAACTTGAGAATTAAACAAGGAAAATAATCCTCAAGTACTTCCTAGTTGAGAAGAACCATTTGACCTTTTAAGCATGTCATCAGCCTTGTCAAAAGTCGAGATAGTTGAAGTTGTAAAAGCAAATTAAAACATCTCAGGTTTATGCCCATTTACGTCCATTAATCAAATCATCCCAATCGAATCGGTTTGCCATATAGTTAAATAAAATAAATAACCATTTAGTGCCATCCATTCAAAGTAGTGATTACAAGTAAACTATGCAGCCTGTTGCTGACCTCCTCCTATGCAGGTACGCAGGGAAATCTATTGAAAAACTGAGCCATCTCTTCAAACAACATAAATGTTGTGTTTATGTTTTGTCAATTCTAACCTAACCAAATCCATGGATTGTAGATTCTAGTAGAACATGTCAAGATTATAATAAGAACAATGCTAACACCATTGAAATAAAGGTTTCCACTAATAGAAGGATCATAACAGATACCAGATAATGTTCAAGACATTGAAAACATGAATCATATCCAATTTAAGTTATTCTATAATTTTAACTACAACAAACAGCTATTCGATTATCAAAAATAAAATCAGCTACAAAGATTGATTAATGTAATATAATTAAACTAATTGTTAACTATAAGTTATATCCAGCAAAATATGTTATCTAATAAGATAACCAAAGAATATGTGAGCACAAAATGTGTTAGCAAATTATTGTTATAACAGAGGAATATGTGAGCACAAAATAAGTTAAAAGCCAAACATGGGTTACCTTTAAAGAACCAATATTGATTGAACATGATTGCTTTGCATGTTGAGCTGGTGTCGAAGAATCCAAGCATACAGCAGACGAAGGACAATCCCCACAAGAGCATCCCAGAGAAGAGTCGCCACATGAATAAACAGTTGTGTTCATAGGCTTCATTCCAGTTGAATCACTAATATTTGATCGGAATGTAATTGCATATGGTGAACCAGGCACATCGAGATTTGCTCGACGACCAAGAAAAGCAAGCCAATCTAAAAGCACAGTGAGAACAAGAGATGATACATCCAATATTTGAATGGAAATTTTGCAAGTTTATTAGTAAATTACAATTAAAAGAAGCACACTTCCACTCTCAAGATTCTACATCTGTGTCATTGTTGCAATAATGGAAAACTTATAAAGCACATTCATGACACAATAATTTATACATTGATGGTAACAAAAGCTTGCAAATAGATCATCATTAAGGAATGGAACAAAGTTAAAACTGAATGGATAATTATGAGCTGGATAAAGGAGAGAGTTGATATTATATTAAGTTATTAACCAAATTCTGTGCTAAACTTTTGCTAAGTTATCTCCAGTAGACTTGCTAAACATATTAGTTGCATAACTAGAGCATCTCTATGTCACAACCTAGCATAAATTTTATCATTTCTCAGACTAATTAGCTCTTTAATTTAGCATGGAGTTATTAGCTATAGTTCCTCTTGCAAGAAAAAGCAAAAGAAGCCATGCAATTCTCACCAGCATAATTATGAGCACCAGCACCAACAAAATCCATTGCACGAGTATTCATACTACCAAACTTCACATCCTTGCATGAATTAAATAGCTGTTCTCCAAAGTAATGAGTTACAAAGAAATCTATTGCATCAACAGCCAAAGTACCATTCACCTGAAAATGTAAAATCATTTCTCAAAATTATGTTTTACAGCACTTTAGATGCACACACAAAGTATAATAAGATGATGTATCATGTATGTCACATCAAACTAAGAAAGCACTGCAAACAGCAGAAAACAAGTTATGTACCATTGAGAAGTTGGTATAGACACAAGAAAGTTCCAAACCTACTTGCATCACATAATTTTTTTCAAGTAAAAGAAGAAAGCACCTTCTTGATTGATGTCACATTGATGAATAGGCTTTGATTTGGAGAGCAAGAGAGCTCACAGAAGAGATTCAGAAAATTCCTCAAGCATGCTGGACAACCCACAAGAAGAGGAATTGCCTGCAAAAGTTATCCACAAAAAAAAATTAAAATACTAAACAAATAAATTATAAGAAAATACCATTAAGGTATCTAATGTAAGAAATTGTTTCTGTAAGCAACAAAAATGACAACAAGCTCTAAGGCCCCAAATAATACAATGAATTAACTGCTACAAAAATAGTTTATCTATTGAAAAGTAAGGGCTGGATCCAACCCATGGTTTAAAACATAATAGAAATATAAAGTACGATGAATATGGGGTGCATATATGTCAAAAATTTTGCAGCTTAGTATCTCATCTGCTTCTGTCATCATCAGCAGTGAAGGCAGCTGGGATCTAAATTCTGAGTATCTAGGGATTGACAACATATTGGCCCATGGAAGCAAACTTGTTGGTCAAAAAATGTAATAATGAAGTCTCCTTGATTGTATTGATAATGTAATGATGAAGTCTCCTTGATCATATTGGACCATGGAAGCAAACCTGTCGGTCAAACAATGTTTATCTTGTGTGTTTCAGATTGCTTGTTTTCTCCAGTTTTTAAGATTATGTCATACTAACAGCCAATTTGATAGGCTCCTACCAATCCCAGAATCCTTTTCTTTTTTTTGGCTAAATATATGTGGTTGGTAAATGATAAGTCTAATGTTGAGATTAATTATGCTGAAAGTGTCAGTCCTTTTCATTCTAGTTAGAAAATACCACGTATAAATAAATTTTGTTACTACCAAGGTTTTAGAATCCAATCATACAGAGTGGCATGGATAAGTTTTTACTGGTGTAACAACTAACCAATATATGGACCGAACAATTTCACTAGCCACTCTTCCTCCTTTGTTGCTTGTCAATGTCGCTGCATCACCACATCTTCTCTGCCAGACAAACCATACCAGCCTTCCTCAATCACCACCACCACCACCTCCTCCTCCTCAACCTCCTCCTCCTCCTCCTCCTTCTCCTCCTCCTCCTCTCTCTCTCTCTCTCTCTCTCTCTCCCTCTCCCTCTCTCTCTCTCTCTCTCTACTTGAAGTGGTTCAGTTGATACAAATCTGTATTGACACTTAGTATGCTGTATATTGTTTAGATCAGTCCAATAAGCTCAATGGTATCGACTTATATCAAGTGGTAGAGATATTGAGTTGTACCAAGCAATAAGCATGTTGTCCAATACTGATAGCAACTCATAATTTCTTTTGTTTTTTTATTTAAAACTTGCAACCCCCCTCCGCCTCCTCCTCCCAACACACCCAAAAAAAACCACCTCCTCCGCTGCAATCTATTGGCTGTCCAATGGTCTCTCTCAATTCTTCCGTGTTCACGTTGCTAACCACTTCGTACTTACTCTGCCTTGTCAATGTATGTGAATTGTTCTGCTCTGCTGCCCTCATCCTTAAGTAACAACTCATTGTCGCCCAAGTCATGATCTGCCACTTCGACATGCGACGCCCCACCTTCTTTCTCTCTCCATCAGCTTGCTGTGGTCTAGCCGGTACCAAACTAAATTGATACTCGATAGATTAGCAGGTATTGTACTGTACCAACCAGTAGTGGTACCAAACCGAGATTTTATCCCATATATTAAATGCAATTAAAAGTCAAAAAGTACATGGAGCAAAGGGATAGCTAGAAAGACTTTGGTAAGTCAACATTGCAAAACATCCAACCAGCGTAGAACCATGAACAACGAACAAAAAGAAGTTCTGGAACCATAGAAGATATAGTAAATGAATGGATTAGAGTGAGTAGCCAATGAAACAGAGCATGTACGATGACCTTTGTTAGTATTAAAAACTGCAACTGTCAGTAAAAGATTTTACTTGTTGGACTTGCCCACGTAATGTGTCAAACTGATCTGCAGAGCAGCAGACGTTGTCGGTGATTGTTGGACACAGACTCTGGATCGTTGAAGAAAGCAATTCATCTGGCTGTAACCCAAAGGAAAAGAAAGTTTTATTCAATTGATGCAGTAAGGTACACATTTCTTAGGTAGTATTCTGCCACTCGATCAAATAGAATACAGGAAAGCAGGACCTCGTTAGAAAAACTTGCAGAGCTTCATTACAAAAACTAACTTCTGCAGAAAATAAGTAGCATGTGTAGACAAATATGCAGTCCACCAGCTTTCTCATGGACGCAAAGGAAAATTTATCAAAATCCTATCTCTGAATTAAACATCTATAATAATCGAACAAAGCAGCATAACCATGTCGTGGAAAAACAAATAATAACATCCAGAGTGCCTGACCAAGTTACCTTCACAGAATGTGTACGGTTAGGGCAATTTAAAACCTTCCCATCACTGCGTTGTCCACAAATACCATACATGGAACAAAACCCTTCTGCATATATGTCTCTAAATGAAATAAAAATAATAGGCAATCAAAATACAAGGAAGAATATACAAACAAAAAATAAAAATTATTCATCACTTGATAGGAATGGGGCAAGCATAATGAAAAGTAAAATCAGTATTTTATCAATTTCAGAACATGAAGGTTATGTCTCAAGAGAAAGAATAATTCTGGCTTACTGTGCAATAGATGGCTGAAAATTTGCTGGAAACAACATGAAAATGACCTGCATATATGAGAGAATGCATCAACTTAGTTCATAGATTCATTAATCTTTCATTCAAGTATTTCACTACAATCGAAAACTCATATGATATTAAGTATTGACAAAAAGATCTAGATATTAGTGCAATTAAATAAATAATTTTTCTCAAAGATACCAACCCATTTCATCAACATTTTATCTGCAAAATCATTATCATCCAAGTATTTTGGCCATCTATGTGGGGTCACTTCAGAACTGATACATCAAAAACACTAACTTGATAATTTGATAGTTGTTTGAACTTTGAACATACGTTACCTAGATTGTTGTACCACCTGATGCGGTATGGCATAGGCAGTACATATTGATCCGATAGGTGACGGACACGTAGATCGTCCTGTATCCGGTAGTTATCAATTGTGGATTGGATCAAATTTGGGAGGCTTATTTGAGAGGTTTAACACTTAAGCTAGAAAAGGATCACGTTAATCAAAAGGTATGTATTCCCTTTCTAGATTTTTGTTGATCTATGAGATGATTAGCCCATTCTATGTTGTCAATGTCTATTATGTTGTTTGACATGTTTATGATGGTAGAGTAGAGTTAATTATGGAGTAATTAAGGTTGTTAATGCTGTGATTAGTGGGTTTAATGTTGATTTAATTGAAATTAGACATATATTGGCTGAAATCTATGTATTTAATGTGTACTAGGGTGATTTACATGTTAACGATGATAAAAGGAGGTTAATTAGGGATTAATTAAGGTTTTTAATGCTGTGATTAGTAGATTTAATGATGATTTCATTGAAATTTGACCAATATTTTCTCAATATAATGTAAATTCGTATTAGGGTGTTTGACATGTTTATAGTGGTAAAAGAAAACTAATTAGGGAGTAATTAAGTTTGTTAATGCCGTGATTAGTAGATTTAATGATAATTTCATCGTAATTTGATCAATATTGGGTTAATTCTATGTATTTAATGCCTATTAGGATATTTGACATGTTTATAGTGATAAAATAAGATTAACTAGGGAGTACTTAGATTTTTTGATGCTGTGATTAATGGAATTAATGATGATTTCAACATATTTTGACCCATATTAGGTCAATTCTATGTATTTAATGTCTATCACGGTGATTGATATGTTTATAATGACAAATTAGGGTTCATTACATATAATCGAGTTTGTTATTTTGATAAATTTCTTTAAGAACATGACACCAAAGGAACAGTCATCTGATGATACTTGGGATCATGCCCGCCGTTTAGACAACAACCACCATCATTGGCAGTGCAAACATTATGTCTACATTGATCGGGGTGAAGAAATCACTCAATTGAAGCAACATTTGATCGGTGATTATCCCAATATTGCAAAATGTAAAAAGGTTCTGAAAGAGATATGTCAGTTATTTCAAAATAAACTACAATAGGCAAAGGATGATGCAATTCAAAAGAAGGCCAAGGAACAGAAAGAATATAGGTGTGCTACGCAAGAATCATTTTAGGATGAATACGAGAGTCGCAACAATGATGTCGACTCGGGTTTTAGGGATTGTATTCATGCATCACTGGAGTATCAATATATGTATGAAGATGCAATAAGGCATCAACAGCCTAACTCACAATAGGAGTATGCCGATTGCAGTGGATCTGCACCACAGGGATTCCAGAGGAGTGCTAGCACAAGATAGCCAACTACCCCTTATCCTCGGTTAAGCAGGATTGGTAGTCTGAGGCAGGATGGAATCCATGGTTTTATCATGTTTTTAATAGGCACTCCGGAACTCACCTAGGCACCCGAGAGAGGCGAGGCCCGAGAGCCTAGGCGACGCACTTCACTGAAGCACCACCTGGGCGCTCGCCTAAGCCCAAGCGCCTCGGGTGAGCGCCCGATTGAATGCCACCAATCGAACCAAATTGTGAGCTATAGTTTGATTGAATAGTAACTTAGTTGGTTCAATCGAACCAATTAGGTGGAATTTTCCATGCAAAACAACATCAAGTAGAAAACTTCAAGAATGTATCGGCATACACTAAGTATCCACCTGATGTAAAAGAAGAGTTAGTTGGCTTATATGACTAAAAGAAAGACACAAAAGAACAAGTATTGTGGGATTTTACTTAAGAATGATGTTCACCATAATGGAGATGATGAAGAAGTGGAATATCATACAAAAAGTGTCAATGTCAGTGAGAAAAGAATATCTTACAGTAAAGGAAAAGAAGTTGTAATTGCTAAGAAGGCTAAAAAAGGATCGATGGATTTGTATATATATCAAGGATTACAGAAGCAATAAGACCAAACAGGAGCAAAATTAAGGCAAACAAATATAAGTGATGCTTGTGATAAGGAAATAAGGGAAAGAATAATTCAACACATTACTCACTTCTTCTATCAAGCTAGAATTCCCCTGAATGCTTGTCGTTTGGACATTAATTAAAATATATAACAGGTGATTAAAACCTCCAAATTATCATGAGTTATGAGTTCCGTTACTAAAGAAAGTGTTAGATTACACAAATGACTTATTGAAATGCTACAAAGAAATATGGACAAAACATGGTTGCTCTATTATGTCAGATGCTTGGACCGACAAGAGATAAATGAGTATAATTAATTTTATAGTCAACTGTTCTTTAGGAACCATATTTGCGAAGTTAATAGATGCATCTTCACTTATGAAATCTAGAGAAAGTTATATAAGTTGCTTGACAAGTTTGTAGAAGACATTAACGAACAAAATATCATCTAAGTTATAATCAAAAATAAAAGCAGGTATGTTTTAGCAATAAGATTTATCTTTTGAATTTCTTAAACTTTTAATTACTCTATGTCTCCAATGTGAATAGAAGAACTATGTAACTCCTAAGTTTCATCAATTTTATTATTATCTTAGATAAATTACTACAAGCAAAAAAGATAACATCTGTATTGGACTGCATGCACAGTATATTACGTTGATCTAATACTAGAGGACATTGAAAAGATTTTTAACATCAAGAAGACTTTATGAAGGGCAATCTTTGTAATTGGATTTCTTTATAATCATGCTTATGCTTTGAATATGATGAGAAAATTCACAGGCAATAAAGAATTAGTGAGATTTGGTGTCACATGATTTGTTACTTCCTTCTTGATATTACAAAGCATACATTATCAAAAACACAACCTGAGAAACATATTTACCTTAGAGAAATGGGTGACAAGCAAATGGGCAAAAGAAACGAAAGGTAAAAGGCCAATGGTGTCATTTTAATGTCATCCTTTTGAAATTACATAGTTTATACATTAAAGGTAATTGACCCTCTTGTTCACGTCCTTCGGTTGGCAAATAATGAAAAAAAGTTTGCAATGGGATATATTTATAAAGCTATGGATAGAACCAAGCAAACAATTCAAAAGTCTTTTGGTGAAAATAAAGAGACGTATATGGATATATTTACAATCATAAACAAAAGATGGGAATGGCAACTTTATCATCCACTACATGCAGCGGGCTATTATCTAAACCCAAAATTTTTTTATAGGAACTCTTTCAAGTTTGAAGTTGAAGTTGTGAGTGGGTTATGTCAGTGCACTGTAAGATTGGTTCCAAGTATTATAATAAAAAATAAGATCATATATGAATTATCATTATATAAAAATATTGATGGTCTTTTTGGAATTCCAATTGTAGTTCAATCAAGGACAATTAAATCTCCAAACATTTATAATTTTATATAATTAATATCATGTAAATACAT